TCTGCATTTCTTCTTTAAAAAAACTAATTTGAATAGTGTAAGTTAAGACTCTTCTACTTGCATTATTACATGCCAAAGAACAAACACTATAGACAACAAAATTGTTATTATATGCTAGCTATATACTTTTGTGCTCTTTATGCATTGATGAGTTCTATACCAAATGATGCTGATAAGAAATCTTAGCATGAAGAAGCTTCCTCTTATCCACAAATTTTACATGGTTCCTGTTGATACAGCTATAAATTTTCTAGCTGTCATTAAAATGTCTCTTCATGAGCATTCTTCTTCTTCCCATGTGATGTTGGACCACATCTATTTACTTTCCTTTTTTGTTTCATTCTGCTATTGTTTTGCTTTACAGTTTCAAAAATTAAGGAAAATAATTGCTTTGTCTGTGAACTGTTTTTCTTAATTACCAACTTGACATGACATTTTTTTAGGTTGTTATCTTCAAAATGATGTAGATAGATTATTGATATTATAATTACTAGGCTTGAGTTTTCCATTTCAATATACATCAAGGGTTTTCTCTATTAGGACTTGAACTTTTGAGAATCCCTGAATCAAGATTATTGACTTCTCTCTCTTTTTTTTAGTAAATTAAAAGAAAAGTTTATTGGAGTTGAGTTTTAGGGACTCAATAGAATCAAGACAGACTTTAAGTTCAACCAACACTTATCAAAAGAGATCCTCACATCAGCAATAAGAATTATTTCTCTTTCTTTTAGTAAAACAAAAGTTTAGATGAGTTAGGCTGAGTTGGACTCTGAGAGCTCACTAAGGTCAAGGCAAACCTCAAGGTTCAACGAGCATTCATTGAAGTATTTATAGATTATTCACCAAATAGATATTCACATTGGCAGCGGAAGTTGTCTCTCTTTTTTTAATAAAATAAAAGTTTAGGCGAATTGCGCTATCAAGACTCACTAGGGTCAAGGAACACCTCAAGGATCAATGAGAGCACTTATAAAGACAAGTATAGATTATTCACCAAAGAGATCCTCACATCAATAATAAAAGTTGAACCCAAAACATATTGTTGTGTGAGCTAACTTCTTACCAACTGAGTCAATTTATCTTATCTAATATTAGAATTTTAATATAGTTATGTTTGAATTTAAATCTAAATGGTTAGTCTTGCATCCATAAAAAAACTATAAAAAAACTAATACACATATAATAAAGAAAAACTACTAAAACAAATGAAAACTCCAATAAAATAAGGGAAAAAACCACTCAACAACAAACCATCAAAAAAAAACTATGTAATCATTGTACCACTCGAAAAATAGTTAGTTTGAACTCAGGCCTAAAGAAACCACCATCAACATAAATATAATCCTCGAGAAAAAATTATAAGGATAATTTTCTGCAAGAACTAAGTTAGAGACACTCAAATTGTTATTGGATCAAATAAAGAATATGTTTTTCAAACCATTAATATAAAAAATAGGAGTTGGTCGAAGACATACCAAGATGTCATTTTCAAGCAAGAAAATAATTTTTTCATCCACATCCTTCACATTAGTAGACGTACCTGTAAAAACAACAACCTTTCGAGAATTCTAAATCGACCAAACAACTGAATTCCAAATCATAGAAGTCCACCTCTAGCTCATGACACTCGACCAAATGAGATAAACACCTTAAAAAAATTGAAGACGGCTAGGAAGAACAAAAATTCACCCCAACCACCTAAAACTATATATCACACAGATCTTGTCACCTCACAAGTCATAAACAAATGAGAGGTCCCATGTTCAGCTAAAAGTTCCATAGAAAGATTGAGGCTTGACCCAACTAGTGTTACACTTGGATTTTTTTAGTTAGTGGAAAGTCAACAATGAATATCAATGAAAATACATTTGATGTGAGAAAGCATTAATGAAGCATCTTAAAGAGCATTAATGTTGAGCCGTCGAATGACCAATGAAGAGCGATCGACCGAGTCGTCGACACTGAAATATATGGTTTTGAGGAATCTCAGGGATAAATCCCCAATACCTCGATGCTTGGAAACATGTTCACAATCTCGAAAAAAGAAAGTTGACAGAAACCTTTAGTCCATCACGAGGGCTAGTCGACTAAAGCACGGAAGGTGAAAAACTTAGTAAATTCACAAGTCTAGAGTCCTTGATAGTCAGTGTTGACAACACATTGTGGAGTTTACCATCGAGGGGTCGTGAGCAAGTTGGAAGCAATTACAAGTCAATGTGTGTTTTACACAGATAGCATCGTGGGTAACATGTAAACACACTAGCGGGAACATGAAGACTGAACGTGGAATAGATGGAACAATCTCCTAGTGGTCATAACCGTTGTTGATAGTTACTTTGTAAATAGATTAAATAGCAGGTTCATACATGGGATCAGAGGTCGCCAAATTTCATACTTACTTTTCATACCACCGGAGTACCAGAGTCAAAGAGCAAAACAATTGAACGAGAAACATGTATGCATATGCGTTCAATTTAATGTCATTTATTGCTTTTACCTTATCATTTATCACAACCCAACTTCATTTAAATTCATTTTCTATGTCGTTATTATTCACGCGACGACCGCATTCAATTCCCTCGCACGTGTATCATTTGTACAAATTGCTTTGGAGATTTTTTGAGTTAATCTCACCGACTTTTAAACTAGTGATTGTTTACCAAAAACACTGGTAAACAACTAGAAAGTAACACATTAGCAATACAACATATATTGGTATATTTAAGGATATCCAAATAATAATCAAAGAGACTCTAGGAAATACCCACTGAGAAGCCACATGTACTATTCTCACCAACCCTCTAACACAAGAATATTATCAAACCTAATGGAAGCTACCCAGCTCCCCACCCCTCCCCCCAATTAGGTGGAAACCACGTAAATTTCCTACCCACCAATAAACACTACTATCTCGAGAGAAAAAATTATCATCGTTTATCATCTCACTACTTGAACAAACAAAATTAAAATCCCTCAAAACACATCACATCCCCTATAAGACTACCTCTATGCATTAAAAAATTATATCACATAAACTTTTTATCTAATAAGGCACATTTATATTAAAGACTAACGTAAAAACATTGGATCCTCGAAGCCCCCACTCCAGACAGACACCAAGGTAACTTAAATCAAAAAAGAAAAATCAAGAGAAACCCTTTGAGCTACATTAAATCGAGAGAAGCGCACCACTATTTCCCTCTGCAAAAATAAAACTCCACTCATAGAAATAATTCTCCCATAAAAAGTGCATCAAAGAGACAGAAATATCACTTAATTTAGTTTATTTGATTGCGATTCAATGACTTAGAAGTGATAAATGCATTCACCATATTCTTCTTAACCCTACTCCTAAACTCACAATCATCAAAGGAACCTATCAAGAACAAATACAACATTTAGACACCCTAGTAGTCTTCTGCCAACAATTACTCCTTTCTAAACCCATTAAACTTCAACTTCTAACTCATGGCCTTTTTTTTAATCTTGGTATTCAGTGCGACGGGTCTAACTCAAGACTTAACTTAAAACAACATCCTAATTGATTGTTTAACTTTAAAAGCTTAGTATATTTCCTACTCTTAAGATTAACAGAAACCCTAAACGACATTGGAATAAGAATCACCAATCGAGAAACATGTGGAAGAGGAACACCTTCCAAACAGATGGATAAGGTTAACCCTAGGGTACTTAAGCCTTTTTCTAGAAAAAGTTTGAGAACACTATCTTGCAAACAAAAAAGAAATAAAAGTGCAAAGACTAACAATATTAGTATTCAGTAGTAGAGTTAAGAGCCTAGGAGTCAAATGACCCCTCGAGTCCGGCATATGTTTCTCACGAGATGTCAGGGATAAAGCATGATCGCTACTACAAAAATACATGTAACATTAGACACAAAGTTGATTTAACCTCGGTTGCATATGCAAGGTAACTAAGGGAGTCATGAAAAGCTGTCACTTTACCCCTCAATTTTAGAATAACTGAGGGGATAATTTAAATGGTCATTGGTTCGATCTCCAATAATAGCTTTTTTATATTTTCAAAACTAACACCATATACCACTCAATTTATTAACAAAACCGAGGAGAAAGATATATTATTATTTTTAAATACTTATTACATTGTTTACACAAAATATTACATTTGTTCTTCATCGTTATTGTTATTGGTGAAGAACAAATATTAAATATCTTAAGGAATAGCAAATATTGGGGATACCCGTTTCGTTATTCTTAAGAAAGATCAAATGCTTGATATAAAATTAAAAAAAAAGGTTAGATAAATAAAATAAATAATCAAATATTTAATATAAAATTAAAAAAAAGTTAGATAAATGTTCGTCTAAACCCTAGTAAAAAAATAAACTGAAAATATGGGGTTGGGATTCACTCCATTTCTTTGTCCCTCCATTTTCTCCATTACTATAGTTTTATGTGTAAATAACACATATTTCTAAGATATGTGACATATAATTAATATTTAGTTAATTTTATATACATAAAAACTATAGTAATGGAGAAAATGGAGGGACAAAGAAATGGAGTGAATCCCAACTCAAAAATATGGTAATGCATATATTAGACAAGGTCAAATAAATAAATCTAATCATACACGTTTCAATCTTAGCTGGTTGTTCCTCCTCCAACACTAAAACTAAATACGACTGCAACTTAAAATTTAATCAAGCTAACATTAATTATTAGCAATCAAAGTAAATTTCCTACCCTATTGGCCTTTTCAGTTTCAAGTCCCAAAAAACCAGTAACAAACAAGAGTCTCCTTTTACTGACCAAATGATTAAATTATGAAAAGAAAAAAAAACTTTTATTTTTTTCCCTTTTCAACAAAAATATCTATCCTATCATTTAGTATTTGTCATTTATTGCTGCTTGGGAATACAATTATACCCTCCAACTTGCATCAAAAATTCTTATATATAACATCACTATGTAGCAACCAACATTCACACTCAAACCAAATTAATCAACCAACAACCAAACATGTTCCAAATCATTTTCCTCCTCTCACTTTTCCTCTCCATATCCAATGCTTCAGTCCAAGACTTCTGTGTAGCAGATCTCAAAGCCTCAGACACCCCATCAGGCTTCCCTTGCAAGCCAGCCACAACAGTTACCGTAGAAGATTTTGCATTTTCAGGCTTAATTGAGCCAGGAAACGTAACAAACATAATCAACGCCGCCGTTACGCCTGCATTCGTCGGTCAATTTCCAGGCCTTAATGGCCTTGGTCTCTCAGCAGCTAGGTTAGACCTTGGTCCTGCAGGTGTTATCCCTCTCCACAGTCACCCCGGTGCAAGTGAACTTCTTATTGTGACACAAGGTCACATCACTGCTGGATTTGTTTCTTCAGCTAACGCTGTTTATGTCAAAACTTTGAAGAAAGGTGAACTCATGGTTTTTCCACAAGGTTTGTTGCATTTTCAAGTTGCTGCTGGTAAGAGAAAAGCTGTTGGTTTTCCTGTTTTTAGTAGTGCTAATCCTGGTCTTCAGATTCTTGATTTTGCACTTTTTGCAAGCAATTTCTCTACTCCTTTGATTGCAAAGACCACTTTCCTTGATCCTGTTCTTATCAAGAAACTCAAGAGTGTTCTTGGTGGAAGCGGTTAATTAAGCCTTATTTATATATATATGTAATTTATTTTTCTAAGTAATGCTTATGCTTATAATAGTTGTTATTTTATTCAACTTATTTTCTTGTATCATTTCTTCTTCTTCTTCTTTCAATTCATTCAATTGATGTAATTGAATTCCTTGTATCAATGTGGAGTAATAAATTCGTGAGTATATATAACTTCTTTTTCTACTGTTATGTCTTTAAGCATTATATTATCATGTTTTTCTACTTAACTATTTTGTAAGACCTATGTTTCTAAGCTTCTCTCTTGAGTATTGGGATTGTTAATGATGTTAGAGAATTTGTTCCAATTTCCCATGTTGATATGTATACTCTGCATGTCACTGTCATGTGTTGAGATAAAGCTTTATTTTATTGCTTTTTCTTTTCAAAAGATGAATGTTGTCCTAATTTAATTTGGTCCCACCCCCACGATGAATATATGAATTAAATTCAATGTAAATTTATTTACTGTAGTTATACAAATATTAAAAAAATAAAATAGTTGTCAATTAAGTTAGACTCGTGGAGGGGTGTAATGGATTCAGTTTGAATCGGTTTTTTAAATAAAAAAAAGGTCAGAATCCATGATATTTAAAAAAAAAAAAAAAAAGGTTAGAATCCATGATATTTTTATAAGTTTGGTTTGGTTTGGTTTTAATTTTTTTGAAAAATATAGCAAAATCAAACAAATTGGTTTGATTCAGTTTTTTTCAATTCGGTTGATCGATTTACAATATTTTTTTTTAAAACATTATATTCATTTGTGTATTCTTCGTTATCATATTTTTCAGTGTATTTGTTTCTATTATTTTTAAATAATACATTTTATATAATCTATTTTATAATCTACTTTTCAAACAAAGGTACAAAGTCTATTAAATTCATACAAATCAATTACATGATTTACATTGTATCTTTAAATAAGTTCACTATCAAATACAAAAGTTGGTAATTGGCAATGACTAATACAACCGAATAAGTTCTCCATCACATGAAAATTTTGGCACTTGGAAATGATTAATATATCCAAAATAAGTTAACCATCAAATACAAAAGTTGGCCCTAACAATGTGTTAAAAAAATTAACCGAGTAACTATGGCCATCGATTCGGTTCATCAATTTGGAAACTCCTAAAAATTAAAACGGAGAACTGAACCAAACTATTACGATTTTCATCGGTTTCGTTCGATTTTTAAAAAGAGTTAAAGAATCAATTTATTTTTTGATTTGGTTTGGTTTGAATTGTCGATTCAATTGATTTTTATGATCCGCTTACACCTCTAGACTTAGGTAATTGTTTTGAAATAGGATAATATATCGATCATACCAATTAATTTTTTTGTATGAGACAAAAAATAATCATAATTAAAATAAATGATCAGAAGTCAAATAATTTACGCATAAAATAATGTTAAAATTCCACGTGAGCAAGTAGGAGATAAAAACGAGTACATAAATAATTTGGCTACCCAACGATTTTATGCCTCTAAATACCTTATTTCGAAAAAAATTCATTAAACCATGTACTCTAATATAACTTTTAGGTCTTTGTTACTTATTATTTCACTAATATGTCTTGATCTCAAATCCTACAACTTGCTCATGTCATAAAATCATTCATTGGCTAATTGTTCATTTCTAGTAAGGTGCAGAAATCTTCTACTGCCCTCCATGGAGATAATCTCGCTGAGACACTCCGCAGTCGCCCAATATAAAAAAACATGGGAAATGACACATCTTGGTAGAGAGATTCTAGGGTAAGAGGAGACTAATGGTTCACTACCTTAACTAAGTGGACAATAGTCGTTCCTGAGAAACACTAAATGCAGGCCCATTGGTTCTATATATACCACATCCATATAAAGAGGGGGCAAAAGTTAGAATACACAAAAAAAAAATAAGAATACGGAGCTTCTCAACTCATCTGATCTTACTTTCTCGATATCCAAAAACACCATCGAACAAGGTTTCTTTCCACCGTAGGCAATACCTAAACCACCAAAAATTCTTAAAGCCTATGGCCAACCCTACCAACATAGACGTGACATGCATCTGTACTGTTTTACAAGTACAGTGGTGCCCACCACGGGACCTTGATTACACTAACCTAGGTCACAACTTCATTTATCACTCCCACATTAACACTCACCAAAATCTTCACTCATAACCTTAATTAATCATAGTCATGGTTGCTAGGAGAGCATAATCCCCCACACATGAGGATACTAGAGGTAACAACGATCCCAACATCATAGCAGAGATGTGTGCCGCATTGTATGAATTGTACTATCAGAATTAAAATCATGAGAACAATGTCATAAACATCAAGAAAAACTAATATAAAATAAACCTCGTAGAGGAAATCAAATTGCTGAGCCCATAAAGACTTTCAAATGAGATACGATAAGCACTTGTTCCCGAAGGTTTCAAGCCTCTCTCTTTATAGAAGTTTGATGGGCGTAGCAGCCCTTACGAGCATGTCGCTTTCATCAACACATATATGACTTTCATATGAGCTCCTGATTCCCTGAAGTGTAAGCTCTAGTTTGGCCTTTTCAAAGATCCTTCCTTACAATGGTGTATGGGCCTATCTCGAGCTTCTATCACCAACTAGCAATAGCTAGTGAAGAAACTTGTGCGCCAGATCATAGTCAGTCGATATAGAAAGATGTCCACTACCATCATGACAAGCATCTTTAGAGTCAATGATGGAATACCTCTCCCATTTCAATGAAGCCACCATAAGAGTCATTCATATAAACTAAGAAGTGTTTGTAGTAGTGTTTCAAAACGACTTCAAAGCACAACACTTTAATGATTGCCTCACCCAACGACCAACCTCTTCACTTCCGGAGGTAGTCACAAGGGCGGAATGCTACATAAATGTTTAGGAGAATAACACTGAAAAGAAGGCATGTGATGTGAAAAAGTGAGTTCCTAAAGTTGAAGGCTTGCAACGCCCATTAAAGAGCACGTACACCTTGATTGTTAGGTATAAGGAAGTGTTTAAGTGAAGCGGAAAGGTTATTGAGAGTTGCATGCCCTAAACACTCTCCACAAGTAGATCTGAGGTGTAGTCATCCACTTACATAATACCTATACACCTCCCACTTTAAAAGCATACTTATTGGGACCTGACCCTGGAAGATATTGTAAGTTCCATAGGGTTAAAGGGAGCCACACAAAATATTATTATCAGATCTAGAATGATATAAAGCACCTAATCTAGGAAGGCCACCTAAAGAAATATGTTGAAGGCAATCCCATGGTCATCCCTATGAGGTGTGATGATTAGGAAATTAAAGAGTCTAGGGAGGTCAAGGAATCTATGTAGATGTCCTCTATTAGGATGCATTTGAGAGACTTCACCTCGACCCAAAGGACCTAAAAACTTTCAAAGGGTCATTAGTTGGGTTCTCCGTGGAGCAGGTACAAGTGAAAGACTACATAATGCCGAAGGCCACCTTTGAAATACGAGAATAGACCAAGCAGATCAAGGTCATGTTTCTTGTTATAGATGTCCATCTTCTTATACAATTATTATACATCCACCAACTTATAATAACTTAGGTGCCCCCTTATCTACTTTATGTTGGTGCATGAAATACCCGCTCCGAGACAGATGGGTTGGAGTCATCCAAAGAGACCAAGATGTTGCTAGGAAATTCTATGTGAAGAGTTTTAAGCTAAAACTTTGGATCCTCATTGAAGGTTCCTTGCTTCCCATTAAGGCAATCAAAAAACACTCGGCCCCTCCGAGAGATCCTTGTCGTCCTTTGAGGTAATTAATACGCAGAATCTTTGTAGAAATATCCTTGCCATTTTCGCCGAGTAAGCATTCAGAACCCTTAACAAAGAGCCATTGTAATTTTTTAAGGCGAGAAGCTCCATTTGTGGGAAGATGTCCCCCATTTATCTTTCCTTATTCATCAAATATTTGGTGGCCTCTTGAAGGCCCCAAAGGACCTTCTTCCACCTTTATTTTTGAAGGGGGGCTTCACCATCACGAGATATTTCACTTTGTCGCTTCTCTCCACCCACCTATAAATCCCTAGGGAAGGGCGAGGGCATGGACATTAGTAGTCGTTTGGCTAGCCTTTGTACCAAGCACTTTCACCTTTAGCCAAACGAGATTAAGGATATATCCCCTTCAAAATAACAATGTTAAAATGTTTAATACAATAAAGAAGAGATCAAGTCAAAAGGTTCATTTACTACCATTAAGCTTACCTAGGTAGTTTTCTACCCCACCTCTGTCCTCCCAGTTTTGGGTAATTAAAGAATGATAGCTCATGAGCTGGAACCATTTTAAAACCTTGATCACCTTTTGTTCAAGGAGGAAAAGGTATTTAGAGTATACACGTTTGATGAGTTGGGGATTTATTGTCCATGACAGAGAAAAATGTAATGCACCCATCCGCTCTATGGTCACCATGGAAGCATCATATGGATTTGCGTAGGGTTCCAACAAACACCTACTAGATAGAGAGAAAAAAGTTATCCAACGACATGTGGGGAGGATCACCACACCATAAAAAGAATGAAACACCCTAGGTGGTACGAAGGATGCCCAAATTACAATAGATGATCTTGAGGGCACTGATGATACTCTACATGTTAGCGTGATTTGGGATGGGGTGACATTATCAATCGTTAGGAATTCTTCCTCAAAAGGTGTATAGGGTATCTGAACCCCTAAATCATGAAAAATAGGAAGATAAATGCAAATATAAGGAGCTAACAAACCACTTCTGATATCTATGTTGGTTTTTTCTGTCTATGAACATGGTTCCAAAATTACATTATCTTCGTGCCCAGTATTGAAGAACCCAATATCATGACTGAACCTCGTGATCATGTTAGTGTTAGAATAGAGAGGAATAATGTCTCGAACATGAAAACCTTTAGCTCTCTTCCCGGCCATAAATGCCCCTCTTAAGGGACTTAGAGTCTCATACGAGAGGGAAGATGTTAAAAACGACAATCTTA